TCAGCATTTTATTAAAGAAATACAACTGGGGCTGGAGAGATGGCTCAGTGGTTAAGAGCATTGTCTGCTCTTCTAAAGGTCCTCAGTTCAATTCCCAGCAACCACATGGTGGCTCACAACCATCTGTAATGAAGTCTGGTGTCCTCTTCTGGCCTGCAGGCATACACACAGATACATAATAAATAAATAAATAAATAAATAAATATTTTTTTAAAAAAGAAATACAACTGATAAATCTTCACAGGGTACAAGATCATTGTCCCACAGCAGGGGAGCACTGTGGCTTCACAGGGTTTTACAGAAATGACAGCAACTATTCAAAAGGCAAATATTCCCAAAGCTTTGCAAGTTGGGTGCTAATCTTGTGATTTTTGTTAACTGTTTTCTCACCATATAGTTCAGTGGACCACAGTGATGTGGGTTGTCCTTCTGTATGTGTGTTGCTTTTATTGGTTAATGCATAAAGTTGTTTCGGCCAGTGGCTTAGCAAAGTAAAGCCAGGCAGAAAGGAAATCTGAACAGAGATATAGAGAGAGTAGGTGGAGTCAAGCAGACGGCAGTCAGCTGCTGAGGAAACAAGACATGTAGAAGATGAGGTGATGCCACGGCCATGTGGCAATACATAGACTAGTATAAATGGGTTATATAAGATGTAAGAGCTAGCTAGAAACATGCCCGAGCCATCGGTCAGTGTTATAACTATAGCTCCTGTGTGATTATTCATGTCTGAGCCATCGGTCAGTGTTATAACTATAGCTCCTGTGTGATTATTCATGTCTGAGCCATCGGTCAGTGTTATAACTATAGCTCCTGTGTGATTATTCATGTCTGAGCCATCGGTCAGTGTTATAACTATAGCTCCTGTGTGATTATTCGTGTCTGAGCCATCGGTCAGTGTTATAACTATAGCTCCTGTGTGATTATTCATGTCTGAGCCATCGGTCAGTGTTATAACTATAGCTCCTGTGTGATTATTCATGTCTGAGCCATCGGTCAGTGTTATAACTATAGCTCCTGTGTGATTATTCGTGTCTGAGCGGCCGGGAGGTGAAAACGCAGTCTGTCTACACCACAGCATCTCCCTCATCGTCTGACTCATCATTCTCCCCACCTGGTGGGCTCTCCAGTCCTCACTGTTCTCTCATTTTCTTGCCCCTTAAGCCCTGTTGCTCTACCAGTACCACCCCCTTTAGTACAAACATTTTCAAATCTGCCACCAGAGAAAACCCGTGTCCTTGTAACACTCTCGTATTGCAACAAATCCGTTTCTCAGTCCCTGTCCCTGTGTCTCTGTTTCATCTGTGGTTCCTTTGTTGTCCCAGGCGACAGTTTCTAGTTTTTAAACCACTGGACCTCCCATCTGCTTAAATGGTGTTCGATTTTGTTTTGAGGGTCTGAGAATCGACTCCCACTGGGCCTGTGTGTGCCTGGTAAATGCTGACACTGGACTTTGTTCCTAGGTTTTTTGTTTTGTTTTGTTTTAATAAGGGGGGAGTAGGTCTTGTTAAGTTGCCTAGACTGGCCTCCAATTCAAAATCTTCCTACCTCAGGTTTCATAGTAACTGGGATTCTTGGCATGTGCCACCACACCTGACAACATAGATGCTTTTCAGTTCCCTCTGCCACTGCCTCGGTGACTTCCATGGCACTGTCTGTGGCTCTTCACTAACCATTTCTTCTGTCGACAGATTTCTCTTCTCCACCCCCTTTATTCTCAGAGGGTGAATAAGAACATAACCTATTCACGTTAGGTTCATTTGAGGGAGGCTTAGTAGCCAAGAGGTTAATTGTTTGTGACAGGACTGGGAAGAGTGTTGAAGAATTGAGTGGAATAAACTCCTTCAGAGGACTTTTAATTGAGGGCACCAATACCTCAAGGCAGTATCACAGGAAGGAACCAGAAGAATAAATCTGCTGCCCATCATCTCTCCAGTCTTCTGATGAGTCTCTCATTGGTAGAAGCATCTGGAAGCCAAAGGACCTGTTGTATGCCATACAAGTTAGTGTTCTTGGACAGAGAGCAAGGTGGAGAAATTGATCACTAGAGCTGAGTGGGATCCATATGACATTTGATACAATTCATTTGTCATTTGGGGGAGATTTAAAGATGGACCCTCTCATTATCCAAATGTAGAGGGGAAGAAGTTATTCTTGTTCTGATTATAGCTACGTCATGTCACTCCTTTGACTAGGTGACCTGTCTACACTGTGGCCTGCTCTGTAGGGCAGATGGGTAATGCAGACTGGACTAAGAATATGTCCTCTTGTGTGGCTATTTCATCCTAAACTCAAATATTATTTCGGTTAACTTGTCATGTTGCTTTTCTCTTGCCCTTTTCCATACATTCTGTTAATATGGCCGTTAATTTCCCTACATGTTTTCTTCAGCACTTCTGAGTTCCCCTCACTCACTGTCAGCGTCATACAGCTTCTGAGTTCCCCTACCTCAGTTAGCATCATACAGCTTCTGAGTTCCCCTAACTCACTGTCAGCGTCATACAGCTTCTGAGTTCCCCTACCTTAGTTAGCATCATACAGCTTCTGAGTTCCCCTACCTTAGTTAGCTTCATACAGCTTCTGAGTTCCCCTACCTCAGTTAGCATCATACAGCTTCTGAGTTCCCCTCACTCACTGTTAGCGTCATACAGCTTCTGAGTTCCCTCACTCACTGTTAGCATCATACAGCTTCTGAGTTCCCCTAACTCACTGTTAGCATCATACAGCTTCTGAGTTCCCCTCACTCACTGTTAGCATCATACAGCTTCTGAGTTCCCTCACTCACTGTTAGCGTCATACAGCTTCTGAGTTCCCCTAACTCACTGTTAGCGTCATACAGCTTCTGAGTTCCCCTCACTCACTGTTAGCGTCATACAGCTTCTGAGTTCCCCTCACTCACTGTTAGCGTCATACAGCTTCTGAGTTCCCCTAACTCACTGTTAGCGTCATACAGCTTCTGAGTTCCCCTAACTCACTGTTAGCGTCATACAGCTTCTGAGTTCCCCTAACTCACTGTTAGCGTCATACAGCTTCTGAGTTCCCCTCACTCACTGTTAGCATCATACAGCTTTTGCAGTTTCTCTTTACCATCCGGTCTCTTTTCTGCCTTTCGCACTCTGCTGCAGACAGTTTTTCTTACTTTCTACGGTCATGCTGTTTAGCATGTCCACCATGTGGTGTCATTTAAATAGGGCACAGCTTCACATGCTCACCCTCTCATTGCAGGCTCTGATATGGGGACTGAGAAAAAGAAGGAGCTTCCCAAGGAAGAAATTTCTGAAGAATCCAAGCCACATGGGCCAGTGTTGGAAAAGCTTTCACATGAGGTTTACCAAAGTCATGGGTTTGGAGCAGCAAGTGAAAAAGACGTATTAAAGGGACATCTGAGAAAGTCTCCTCAGGGGAGAGACTTTGCATCAGGGTTAGTTATCTTCAAGATGTCATCCTTAGGTGAGAAAGAGCAGGGTAGTAGTGGGAGTGACAGCGGCCACAGTCCTGACCCAAGTGTGGTGCTCTGCCATGGGGATCCTCCAGTAGAGAGGGACCCAAGTGTGGTGCTCTGCCATGGGGATCCTCCAGCAGAGAGGGTTAGCGTGTTTGCTACTTCTGCCCAGAGCTTCATGGAGAAGGTACAGCTTCATCAAGCACAGAGGACTTCTGGGGGAGAAAAGCCTCATACGTGTAAAGAATGTGGAAAAGCTTTTAATCAGAACTCGCATCTCATCCAGCATATGCGAGTTCACAGTGGAGAGAAACCCTTTGAGTGCAAAGAGTGTGGAAAGACATTTGGAACCAACTCCAGCCTTCGAAGGCACCTGAGAATTCATGCTGGAGAGAAGCCCTTTGCTTGTAACGAGTGTGGGAAAGCCTTCATTCAGAGCTCACATCTTATCCACCATCATCGAATCCACACAGGAGAAAGGCCTTATAAGTGCGAAGAATGTGGGAAAGCCTTCAGCCAGAATTCAGCCCTTATCCTGCACCAGAGAATCCACACTGGAGAGAAACCGTACGAATGCAATGAGTGTGGGAAGACCTTCAGGGTCAGCTCCCAGCTTATCCAGCACCAGAGGATTCACACCGAAGAGAGGTACCATGAGTGCAACGAGTGTGGCAAAGCCTTCAAGCACAGCTCGGGCCTCATCCGACACCAGAAAATCCATACTGGAGAAAAGCCCTATCTGTGTAACGAATGTGGGAAAGGCTTTGGTCAGAGTTCTGAGCTTATCCGTCATCAGAGAATTCATACAGGGGACAAACCCTACGAGTGCAACGAATGTGGGAAGACTTTCGGGCAGAACTCAGAGATCATCCGACATATTAGAATTCATACTGGGGAGAAGCCCTATGTATGCAAGGAGTGTGGGAAGGCCTTCAGGGGTAACTCAGAACTTCTCAGACATGAGAGGATTCACACTGGAGAGAAACCCTTTGAATGCTTTGAGTGTGGCAGGGCTTTCAGGAGGACCTCACACCTAGTCGTCCACCAGAGAATACACACTGGGGAGAAACCCCACCAGTGTCACGAGTGTGCAAGGACCTTTTGGGATAACTCGGAGTTGCTGCTCCACCAGAAGATTCACGGTGGCGAGAAGCCTTATGAGTGCCGGGAGTGTGCGAAGACCTTCAGCCAGCACTCGCAGTTCACCAGCCACCAGAGAATCCACACCGGAGAGAAGCCGTACGAGTGTCAGGAGTGCCAGAAGACCTTCAGTCGGAGCTCCCACCTCCTCCGACACCGGAGCATCCACTGCGTCGAGTGACCTGCGGGCCAGGACTGTGTGGAAAGGCCGAAGCAGGCTCTTCGTTTCTTCACACTCTGTCCCCCAGTCCTTGGGTCACATGCAAGGACAGGCCCTCCCCTGCCCATGCCCTGAGCCTTGTGGTAGCTGGCGGAAGTGATAGAGCAGTTTCATGAACTATTTATTAAGAAGTTTGTGTTCTGAATTAAATCATAAAAGTTGTTTCAGGCCTTAATTCTCCTCTGTCCTTCTTTCCTTCCTTCTTTCCCTCCCCACAGGGGTCTGCACCTGTGTCTAAATTGTTGTTCTTTGTGAAAGTGGGGACAGGATTCACTGCTATGAACTTCAGAGTTGACTCACTGTCTCCTGCGATGTTAGAAAATCGTGAGCTATTCTCCAGTTCACCGCGTAGCCTTGGGTACCTTAGTAAGCTCCCCCTGCCCCAGGCCTTAAAATCTTCCAGCCGTGTAATCAAGTTAATGATAAAACAGGAAGCTGCGTCTTTTCACATCTGCTAGGCTCCTTATCTAAGAGGCTCCCATGAGAAGGAAGCCGTTTCCAGGATGGAGTGGAAGCCTGAACACCTGGAGGAAGAACCCGAGAGAGACAGCTGAAGCTGGCTGCTGAGCACGGGCAGGAGAGGCTCAGCGGCAGCTCCTCCTGCTGCTGCCATCCTGTCAGGAAGCAGTGAACAGGGTGGGGTGGCTTTTCTCTGCCGGGCACCAGGCCGTGGTGGTGAGCTGGATAACTTGACAAATCAGGCCTGGCCTTTCCAACATCTGAGCTCTCATGCCCACCAGCTGGGGGCTCTGGGTAACAGCTGTAGATGTGACAGCTCTTCTTGGTGTGTCTTATGGCCAAGAATTCTTTTTCCAACATCTCTGCATGTCTTCTGTGTCCTCCAGTTCTCATGTTTCCATGTGTGATGCGCGTAGTAGGAACAGAAATTGCACTAAAGAAAACATTGCAGGCCTAGATTCTTATCTGAGAACTCTCCCTTTAATGAGCCCTTCAGTTCCTGGTCCTTGGTTTTCTTATCAGCAAAATGAGGGGTATTGAATGAAATGACCTCTCAAGTTTCAGGCAGTATCTCTAAGAAAATACGCTAATCACCAATTCGTTTTTTCAGTACTTGAGTTTCATAACCCAAGGCTTTGTGTTTGCCAGGCAAGCAGTCCACCTCTGAGCTTCAGCCCTAGCCCTAGCCCCATCCCCTTCCAGAGCCAGATCCCGATGAGCTGTCCAGTCACGGTGTGCCAGGCAGTGTTCTGTCAGCTTACACTATTTCCCGTGATGCCTCTGTGATGTGGGACTAGCTTTACTCAGAGACAATTTACATATAAAGTTTGTGGTGATAAATGTCCAGTTGAGTGATTCTTGGTAAATTAGAGTTGCACAGTTTTCCTCAGTGCAAGTGTTCTTAAGCCATCTTAAATGATGAATGAGCTCAGGTGGGGCAGGGAATGTTAGGTGATTCACCCATGATCGTGTTCAATCTAGAGCTAAGGGTCCAGGGGTCTATTAGCCGCTGTGCTGTGGGTAGGCTCCTTCATTAATGCCTCATTTTAAGCCCTTTGCACACTTTTTTATTGCCAGTCACTACCCAGATGTGAAGATAAAGATTTTAAACTATATCTTGGCAGATGTGACTCACCACAACCCAATTCTGCAGGTAGGCTTTCTCTACCCTGAGAGCTCTTTTCAGCTTTCTACCCTTGGCTTGAGAGAAAAACAGTCAAGTAAGCAGCTACTGAGTCCATTCCACAGCTTTGCAGGTGGCCGCTCTGCTGCCAGATGCTGGCAGGAGAGCTCTGGCTGCTTCCCTCTGGTTACCAGTACAGTGTGGTCTCCCTTGTTTTTGTTGCTTTGCTCCAGCTCAGAGTAAGCTGCGCCCGCCCCGTCCCCAGGACATCACTCACCTCTGTAATTTAGGATTTTTGTGGTCCCTTACTTTACTTCCAAGTTCATCCCTTTCCAGTCCTTATATAGAGCCAGCATCTAAGAAAGCTCATTTAAAATGTGATTGAATATTACAAAAAAATTAAAAAGCCAAGTGAAACCTTGTCTAAAAAAGACATCAGCACTCTTCAAACTCCCCAAAGGAATCTTCCCAGGACACGTTCGTGAGGACCACGGCCTCCCCTGGAGATGAGCATGCTGTAAAGGTGGAGGTTCTCATGTCTCTCCTCTCAGACTTCGCTCTCAGAAGTTCTTGGTGAAACCAGCAGTGCAGGGTTTTGTTTTGTTCTGTTTGAGACAGAGTCTTCTATGTTGCTGTAGCTGTCCTGGAATTTGCTGGGTAGACCTGGCTGATCTCAAACTCAGACCCGCTGGCCTTTGCCTCCCAAGTGCTGGGATTATAGGTGTGCACCACCATGCCCGATCCTTTTCAGGGCTTAGTTTGGGTTTTCTTGCTGTTGTTTTGGTTTTTGGCTTTCCCAAAAAGCCAATCCTTCCACCCAACTTCAACACATAGTTTCTTTCTTTTTCCTCCCTCCCTCCTTTTTCCTCCCTCACTTCCTCCCTTCCTTCTTTTGTTCTTTCTATGTCTCAAGTAGCCCAAACCGACCATGACTCTGTTTGTGGCTGAGGATGACCTTGAACCCCTGAACCTCCTTCCTTCACATCCTCAGGCACCACTATGCCCAGGTTATGCGGTGCAGGAGATCCCACTTGGCTTTGCACATGATAGGCAAGCACAAACAGGACTCCATTCTCACCTCCTCAGTTGCCTTAAACCCATCACTGTTTAGTAAAAGACAAGGCCTTTTACTTAATCCGTTCTCTTGAACATTAGTGACAAGCTTTGTTGTGCCCGAGCATGCTCAGAAGAGGAGGAAGGCCTCATGTTCTCAAAAGAATCTGTGTGTGCTGCCCGAGAGGAAGTAGTCTCTTAGGTATGTAACACCTGCGTCCTCTGACCTCACTTGTCTCAGGAAACGTCCTGACCTTTCCTTGTTTGCTTACCTCGCGTCAACATCCTACCGTAACTGGTTAGCAGCCACAGTTCTATGCAAGGAGAATCCTGCCTGCCAAAGACAAGTCATGAATGAACTGCATACCCACTTTCAAGAAATAAAATAAACTTCACAGTCTGAAAGCCCACTTAAGTACCCGAGAACTCCTGCAGGATCTTTGAAGATACGTCAACGTCTGTTCTCTCCCTTTCCTCACAGTTTAAGCAAATAAAGCATGTCTTTGTAATTTTCTCAATATGTCTTTCTTTTGCGTGTTATTCTAAACTTCATTGTGTTTTGTTATGGTCTCAATATGACTTTGTATGGGTTTCATTTCCACCTTATTTTGTCTTTCTCCAAGTGCGCCGTCGTGCCTTGCTGTTAGTGTGTGGCTTTGAGTATGATGTTCACTCTGCCCTATATCTGGTGTGTGTGTGTGTGTGTGTGTGTATGCAGTGCCCAACTGTATGTGTGTACATGCGGTGTCCACAGAGGCCACAACAGGGAGTTGGATCTCTTGGAACTGGAGTTATACATGGTTGTCAGTCACCATGTAGGTATTGGGAACTGAACCCCAGTCCTCTGGAAGAGCAGCCATTTCTCTTAACTGCTGAGCCATCTCTCCAGCCCCCAAGGGGTTCTTAATTTAGAAGGTTAGGGACATGCCTGAGGCCTGGGGGTCGCTGAAACACTTGCAAAAACTGAGTTGTAGACAGTTGCCATTAACAGCCCTAAAATATCAGCCAGAGGTTATAATTATAAACAGACAAAACAAAACCCAGGATGGAGGGGCTGGAGAGACAGCTTGGCAGTTAAGAACAGTGACTGTTCGATTTTCAGCACCTACATTGTGGCTCACAACCATCCATAACAGCACATGGAGCACAGATAGACATGCTTGCAAAACACCCGTACTCATGAAGTAAAATAATTAAATTAAAAAACCCACCCCCCCACAATAAAAAGCATCTTTAGCTCAGGCCCTGTCTATATAGAAACAGGTGTGAGCTGCTTTAGGATTTGATCCTTAGGCCACATGCTTATCTCTGGGCCTTTATGTGGCAAAGAAATTTGTCTGTTAGAGCCAGGAAAGGTGTCTCCAAGGAAGCAACATTTAAGTAGAGACTTAGGCAAAGGAGGTGACTTGGCAGCCAGTAGAAAGTGTGGAGGAAGAGGAGACAAGGGGGCACATTTAAGGTGCAGACGAGTTTGGAATGCGGGCCAGTGATCAATTTATTGCCTCCTTACTCCAAACCCATCCTTTGTGGTTCTTTATCATTCTGGAGCTGGGCCTATAAATACTCCCTCCTTTCTGAGTGATACAGAGTCAGGTTGCCAGTAATGGAGGGACAAGGCGAAGAGGAAGGGTCTACTTCTGGGTGTGGTCTTTACCATCACGTGTATGTGTGTGCGTGTGTGTTTGTGTGTGCATGTGTGTCTGTGTGCATGTCTGTGTGTTTGTGTATGTCGTTTGTGTGTGCATGTGTGTGTATGAGTGTGTATGTGTGTGTATGTATGTATATGTATATGTGTGTGTATGAGTGTGTATGTGAGTGTGTATGTGTGTGTATGTGTATATGTGTGTATGAGTGTGTGTGTGTGTGTGTGTATGTATATGTGTATATATGTATGTGTGTGTGTGCACTGCCGAGCAGCAGACCCAGTGCTTGCATCTGTTAATGCATTTGGACAGCACATTAACTTGTGGCTTTCTGCTTGTCAGTTCTGGCCTGCAGCTCCTCAGTGAACATCACCAGTCTGCACAGAATGAACATACTGCTGTATTGGTAAATATTTAGTTCAAAACCAAAAGAGCCAACCAACCAAAGCAAACTGAAAGAGCAACGGATAATAACCCCACCAAATGCCTCTGACTTGTTGCATTTCCTCGTGGTGAATATCCTCACGACAGCTCATTTCAATGCAGGTTGGAAGCAGTGTGCAAAATTGGCTCTGGCAAGGCTCTAGCTGGCTCTAGTTTACCTCTGAAGGAGACACAGTGTCTCCTAAAAGTATGATCAGAGCATGGAAGACTGCCCTGCCTGAATTCCTCTTGCCTTTGGGCCCCAGTGTCTGAATCCTGTGTAGCTCGTCTGTGATTTACCCTAGTCTTTGCAGGCCTCAGCCACTCATGGACCGAAGAGAGCAGATCTTGGTGCATAGGTACCTGGCACAGAGTCAAATGAACCTCTGCCTGTGGGTTGACCTTGGGCCCAGGTGAGACACGGTGTACACCAACAGAGGAACTGGAACAGCCGAAGGAAGGTCCTGGGCAGGGCACAGTGAGCCCAGCCCAGTGACCTC